CCGCGGCCGCCCGTACCTTCGCCAGCTGCGGGGGCAGCTTCTTCTCGGCCTGCAGCAGCGAGGCTCCATCCAGCAGCTTCTCCAGCACCGGGGCGTAGCGAAGGGTCTCGGAAACCAGCGCGTACAGCTGCCGGACATGCTGCGGAGCAGTCAGCGGTRAGCGGCGCCGGGCTCCGGGGCTGCCCCCGCCCTCCCGGGTGTGATCGCCCCCGGCCGCCCCGCACCCCCGTCCCCTCCGGCCGTACCGCGAAGCCGCTGTTGTACACGAGGCTCTTGAGGCCGCCCTCGCCACGCTCCAGCCCCGCCAGCACCGAGGCGGCCGCGCTGTACAGCGCCATGTGCGCCCCGCGCCGCTTCCGCCGGRCCTCCGGGACCGCAGGGGGCGAGCGCGGCCCCGCTCCGCACTCGGGCCCGGGGAGCGGGCGAGGGCACGGATGGGGCGGGAGCTGTGCRGCGCTGCTGGGCGGGGAAGCATCTGGGGCACCGCGGCCGCGCAGCATCGCAGTGATCCCGGTCAGCCCGGTCACCCCGGTGATCACCACCMTCCTGGTCAGCCCGGTAATCCCAGCCACTTTGGCCACCCCATCAACCCGGTCATCCCCCCCACTCTGGTCACCCCAGCGACCCCGGTCACCCTGGCCACCCCATCATTACAGTGACCTYTGCCGCTCTGGTCACCCCGGCCAGTCAGTGACACCGGTCATCCCCATCATCCTGGCCACCCCATCAACAGTCACCTTGGCCAGCCTGTCACCGAAACTGCGGGAAAACCTCTCTTAGCAACATTTTTAACGTTAGAAAGCCAAGGCATTACTTTATTTACTGGCCAGGATGTTGTTCTAGCCAGGATGTGCCACAGAAATCATCTCATTCACACACAGCCCGGGTGTGCAGAGAAAATCATTCTAGGACACATAAATTGGAAAATATACCAGTTTAAAATTTCTTGTTTAACTTCAGTCAAAGATCCTGTTTGYCTTTGCCCTGGGGGAAGGGTTTCTTTCCAGGKCATTGTTCCACCAGGTGAGGCCTGATGAAGTTAACATCTCAACAGATCGGGAATGGCACAGAAAAGATATTGTTATCAAATACGTTAACTTTGCTATCAACTACATTTTGTTAAACCAGTGGGGTTTTGTTGTCTGGTGAAAACCTTTTATCTTTTTGGAAAAAAAAAAAAACAAAAAGCCAGAAGGAAACCAAGCATTGCTCCTACTGTGTGGGGCAAGGCACAAGGAATTATTTTGTCTGATTGTGAAAAAAAATATAGTTTCTCATAACTCCTGGTTCATGGAGGTATTTGGCTTATGACCATCCCATGATGAGCCCATCCTCTGGCTTCCCTCTCAGCATCTCTGGGGGAGCTGGGCATGGTCCTGGATTCTCCCTGAGGAGTGTCCAAATTTAGAAATGTGGTGAGGGAAGCAAGGCAGAGGCTGAAGGATCAGCCTGGGGTTCCCACCCAGCCTCACACTGAAGGTCTTTCAGACACAGCTGATGCCCAGAAAAGGCCTAGAAATACAACTCCATAGACTGGTGTCTATAGAGCAGGTATTTGTTTATTGTAGCGCTGGTGTAGCGCTGGAGGTGAGGAGGATTTCTCCTCCTAACCCACCTGCCTTCGCTTAGAATTGGCAGGTATTTATACAGTAAGCACGGTGTAACATTACCATTGTCACTGCCCCCCACACGCCCACCCTACGCCCACCACCATACGTGGGCACAGAAATACATGATATCACAGTTCTGCAAGTTCGCCTGCATCATCCTCAATTCGGTGGTTGCGGGGGTCTCCTAATGAGATACCATCCTCTTCATCGTGGTGGACTTTCCACCTTTGTCATCAGGGCATGCACAGTTGTGATGTTCATGGTTTTTTCTAGTCCTCCAAGTCTTCATTTTCTGTTATTTTGCTGACTGTCCTGTGCCTCTGCCAAGTTCTCATTAGTTCTCTACTGTTCCTTGTTATAGCATCTACCTGTCTACTTCTTCAGAACTTTTTTGATTTATGCCCCTTGGTGATTCTCTTTTGTCCAGCCACCAATCCAGCTGGCTGGATTACATCCAGCTGATAAACTCTATGTTGCTAATACCTTATATGAAAACTTATAACAATATATGAAAAAGCTATTATTGATAATATATTAAAAGCTATTACATTGTATATTTATAATATGTAAAAAGTTATTACATTCTTATATTGATAATGTATTAAAAAGTTATAGAAAGTTTTCAATCAATATGCCTCATAAGCACCTTGTCACTTTGACATAAACTATAAATATCACAGCAAGGCAGAGAATGCAGCACCTTGTCTCCAAAGGGGGACTGGGGAGAGGCTGTGGATGGGTCCTTCCCTTCTCCCTTCCTCCCTCCCTCCCTCACTCTCTTCAAAATACAACCTTCTGTGAGTAAAAAACTTACTTTTTGTTCTTTTGTGGTCATCTCAAAARGTCTCAAGAATGTGGTTTTCTTTCTGAATTTATTTTGCATTCTCATTTGTTTTGAATTTATACTGTTTCAGGTGCCTGAAGAAAGCTGAACTTACAAACTGGTTCCAAATCAGTTCGGATTTTTTGCTGTTGTTGCAGTTTGGTTTGGTTTGTTGTCTTTTTTGTTTGGTTGGGTTCAAGTTTGTTTTTTTTCTTTTGGTAGTTGTGTGGGTTTTGTTGTCGTTTGGTTGGGTTGGGTTTTTTGATGTTGTTTTTGTGGGGTTTTGTTTTTGATTTTTGAGTTGTGGGTTGGTTTGGTTTGGGTTTTTTGYTSTAACGGGGGTGCAGCAGGCGGTGCACGCCGCGGACTACATCCCCCAGCATGCCCCGCGGCGCTCCGTGACGTAACCATCGTTCGGTCCCGCGCCGCGCAGGGGCGTGTCCACTCCCGCGTGCCTGTAAAACCGCGCGCTGGGACGGGGTCGCTGCTCGGAGCGTGATTGGCTGGAGGCGCCGCCATCGTGCGGGCGGTGATTGGCGGAGCCGGTGAGGCGCGGAACGGGCGCGGTGCGGCCATGATGGCGGGCGAGRTGGGGCTCGGGGCCGGGTGGCGCGATGCGGACCCCGACCCGGCTTCGGCTCCGACGTGGGCTCTGGCACTGACACCGCCCCCAGCACCAGCATGGGCCCTGACCCCGGTCCCGACAGCCTCTTTATCTCTGGCCCCGGAGTCTCTCCAACGCCTGCAGGACCTGACCGGCGATGGAGGGGTGCGCAAGGAGCAGCTGCGCCCCGGCACCGGGCAGCCCGTGCCCCCGTCCGCCTCCGTGGCAGGTACAGCCGGATATGGGTGCTCCAGAGCCTCCTMTGGGCTGTGAGAGGCCCCRTTGCCATGGTTGGGCACCCCTATTRAGGATGTCCCTGTTCTGTGGCACARGTTGCCCAAGGAAGCTGTGGTTGTCCCGTTTCTGGAAATGTTCAAGGCCAGGCTGGAGCAACCTGCTCTAGTGGAAGGTGTCCCTGCCCTTGGGCAGCRGGYTGGACTGGATGATCTTCAAGGTCCCTTCCAACCCAAACCATTCCATGATTCTCACAGTCTTGCCAGGGTTCGTGTCCTGCAGTGAGGCTGCCTGAGCTCAACCTGGCTGTCTGGGGCGGGGGGGATTCAGGGTGCTCTGCTGTAATGTGCTCCAAAGCATGGGTGGTTCACGCACCAATAACCAGCTCCTGAGCAGCTTTTAAGTAGCAGTTGTTAAGTTTAATCTGTATTCAGCAGGACAAAGTAAGCTAAAATCCTTGGAAGAGTGGGTTGGAGTGAGGGTCTGGTGCTCATCTGTGTTGCCTGTGTCTCGGTGTGAGGTTTGGTCTTTGTGGCTGGGTGTGAAGCAGGTGCTGAGGGAAACAGGGCAAAGCCTSTTGGGAAAGATCCCCCAGGCCTCTAATGTTGTGCTGGTGTCTYGCAAAGACCACAACAAGGACTTAAAAGTGCTAATATTGTACTGTGTCTGTTTTAAAGACTGTCCACTGCCTTTATYAGTATTTTAACACTTGGGATACCCTGTCTTAACTTCTTGTGGCTGACTCATTAAATGAAAAGGCATSTTGGCCCTGAGGAAAGAAGGATTTCTCAGACCCACCTGTGCTCACAGAGCAGTTTGAAGCTCAGAGTGGTTCCTGAAGTGTAGAGCCCTGGTACCGTGTCAAGAGAGGCCCATTACCATTACTGTGTTTTCTGAAGCAGAACAGGAGTTACAGATGCAGAACTTTGGGTCGTGGCACATTTCCCCCCCTTGTTCCTCTTTCCAGAGCYCCAGCTTAGGGARTGCTTTTCARGTASTTTTGCAGATAACTGGGACATTTTWATTTGCTCAGCTGAAGTTTCCAATTCATAAAAGCAAAAATCATATCTCTTAATTAGCTCAGGACTGTGAAGCATCTGCTTTGTCTGGGAATGGTGCTAAAACACACAGCACATGGCTTTTGGTATAAAACACAGGGGTGGTTTGTTTTTTTTTTGTGCTGCTTCTGCTGTTAAGTAGTAGAAGGARAAAAGAGAAGCTGGATAACTGAATGGTTGGAACTCCTGATGTTGCTGTTATAGGATATGAAATCAAACTCTTGCTTTCCCCTTCTCCCTATTCCCTGTTTTGGGCTGCACAGTGAAGTACTCCGGGTACCTGGGAAGCTGGAATAARCTCTTCTGTTCAAGTGGGAATAGCAAGTATCCAAGGCTGATGAAACTTGGAAAAGGTAAGTTTAAGTCACAAGGTTTGTCCGGGGGCTTGGGGTTATATTAAGACATTTTGGGACATGTGGTTATATTGAGGCATCTCAGTTTAAATGCTGTTTAGTGTCTTTAGGCTGTTTGAAACCTTTAACACTTATTCATAGAGTCCAAAATCCTTCTGGTTCACATGGGAGATGGAATCTGGACGTGCTCATCCTTTGCCTGGGAGTGGTTGGGGGATATTGCCCACCTGCCCTCAAATAGTTTTAAATACCTTTAGAAGAGATGATGTTGTTTTCCAGGCTGGACAGGTCTTGCAGCATGCTGGTCTAGTCAGAGGTGTTCCTGCCCATGGCAGGACTTGGACTGGATGATCTGTAAGGCCCCTTCCAACTCACCCCCCTCTGGATTTGTGATACCATGTGCTCGGTCCCACAGCAGGCTGCCCTGATAGTCCTTGCTGGAGCTACTGGCAGTTGTAGTTGCTGAGACAGGAGCTCCCAAGGAGTTTTTTCCTTCAGGCTTAAGGAGAAATTGTTGTTTGGTGTGGGGGAGGAGGTGTTTGCAAACCTCACCTGTCCCACCCCTTGTTGTGACAGACATCACGCTGTGGGGGCTGGAGATCGGGCTGCTGTCCATGACCAAGGGAGAAGCTGCGCTGTTCATCCTCGCACCAGAATATGCCTACGGCCAGCGGGGCTGTCCCCCCTCCATCCCCCCAAACACCACGATCCTCTTCAAGGTGGAGGTTCTGGACTTCATAGACTCAGAGGAATGTGACGCATTCTTTGAGTTGACTGACGTGAGTTCCTGTAATAAGGCTCGAGACTGAAATCTGGAGGGTCTCACAGTTGCTGTGGCTTGTGTGTTACCTGTGTTCAGGTGAATGCAGGTGCAAGTGTCCAGTCCCTGGGTCCCATCTCTTCTCTGATACACCTGTCTGCCCTTTGTGTCCCTCCGTGCTTTGCTCTGTTTGCCCTCCCATGCAGAGGGAGAAGGTAGGTGCTGCCTTTTGTTTGCTCCTGTGTGCTGGATGCCGTCAGTGGAATGGCTCCCATTTATTTTTAGTTTTACCAGAARCCTCATGGTTGCACTAGAGGGCACTAACTTCCAGCAATTTCTTTAWGGAACAGTAAGGAGCTGTGTGTAACAATCCTCTTCAGTATGCAGTGTCCCGGTGCCCCCTCAGCCCCCACCCTTTGTCTCTGCCTCTTGSCTCATCTCCCAGGTGTTCCTTCCCTGTTTTTAACTCCCTGGTGAGTTACGGGGCTGTTGTTAATTCCCCTTCTCCTGTCACGGGCTTTGGRCTGTGGTTGTGGGTCAGTGAGTGGAGGCAGAGGCTAATGGGGGAGGCTCTCCAGCTCCCTCCAGCCTCTGCACRGGCAAATTTTTCCCCAGAGCCCTGTGAGCAAACCACACTTGTGCTCCGTCCTTGCCCCCGATTTTTTGGGTGACTGACCTCTCTCTATGAGCTGGTTCCTGCTTGTGGAACCAGAAGAAAACTTGGCCCTCCACTTCTATCTTTTTTTAATGATTGTTGTAGTTTTTTGTTTTGCTGCTTGGTGTCTTTTGGGGGTGTCAGGCTGTCCCAGAGCTGGCTTGAGAGCAATTAGAGCAATAGAACCTTTCAAGCAGCTTTGTGCCAGTGASTGCATTTGTGTTAACTCAGATGTGTGCTGAAAGAATTGGGCAGGTTTCAAGGATACATTCCTGCTTTTCTTAGCCCCAGCTTTGGGCCTGGGGAGCTCCCTGACCTCTTCACTAGAAATAACCAGCCCAAGAAGCCTGTCATGTTTCAGCCTGGCCAGGGAGATACCACATGGTGGTGGCCTGGCCTTGGCAAGGACCTGGTTTAGCTTTGTGAATAGGAGGGGGCTGTGCAGGACTGTCTTGTCTGAGTTCTCTGCCTGTTTTATTTTTTTGAGCTCTAATTCAGATGTTTCTTCACCCAGGAGCAGCAGGAGAGACTTCCTCTAGAAAAGCTGTTGAAAGTGGCAGCCACAGAGAGAGAATTTGGCAACTACTTCTTCTATAAGCAGTGCTTCAAGATTGCCAAGGACAGATATAAGAGGGTATGGCACCAGGAAAATGTGAGATGTGCTTTGGGAAAGCAGTGAAAGAAGGGATTATTTTAGCTCACCATAACAGGTACAGGTTAAAGATTAAATAACTTTGTGGTATTTTCCRGGCTTAGTTTGTTATTTAAAAACAGGGCTTGGACACTTGGTTTTGTGTGGACAGCAGTGGTAAATGAAGGAATAGTCATAGGTGAAAAAGGTGAAAAAGGTCTCTGAGACCACTGAGTCAAACTGTTCCCTAGCAGAGCAAAGCCACCCACTAACCCATGTCTGCAAGTGCCACATCCACATGTCTGTTAAATCCCTCCAGGGATGAGGATTCCACCACTGCCCTGAACAGCTTGTGCCAGGGCTGGACAACACTTTCAGTGAGAAATTTTCCCCAGTGTCAAACTTGAACCTCTCGTGGTGCAACTTGAGGCTGTTTCCTCTTGTCCAGCTACYTGGGAGCAGTGCCTGACCCCCATCTGGCTGTACCCTCCTGTCAGGGAATTGTAGAGAATRAGAAGATCCCTCCTGAAACTCTTTTTCTTCAGGCTTAGCCTCTTCAGCTCCCTCCCCAGGCAGGGAAATGCTCGGTTATTCTCAAACGGGAATGCATCTGCTACTTTTTCAGAGGTAGAGATGATTCAAAGTTGCTTTTCCTTGGTATTTTTAAACGAAAGAAGTTTGACTTGCCTTCTTCCCTTATAAGATGTCCACATTTGTCCTTAAAATCTGAGTCCTGGATGTAATTTTTTTTTTTTATTCTGGTGCTTTCTCTGGTAAGTTCCTAAACCTGTGGTTGTATGGCTGAGCTGACTAGTCATGCTGAGAATACCATGCCCTGTATTTAGAGTTCTGACTGTTACTACTTCTAATTGACCTAGGTGAACAGAGACATAGRTGTAGCTGTCAGATGAGATGGATTTCTCATATTCCATGACAGATTTGTTGTGCACTGGCTGTTTTTTCCCTCTCTGCTCAGGCACTCTCCATCCTGGGTCGCAGTTCTTCCAGCAAGGCAGAGCAGAGCCAGATCAATGCTTCYAAACTGCTGCTGTTCCTAAATCTCTCACTTACTTACCTGAAACTGGAACATCCTGACCGAGCTTTGAAATACGGGAAGTTGGCCTTGGAGATGGACCAAGGAAATGCCAAAGCACTATTCAGATGTGGCCAGGTGGGCAGAATAAAYCATCATGGAACATTCTGGCCTGGCTGTGGGTGAAGCCCAGAATGAACTGAGGAGAATCACTGAATTCTGGGCTGCTGCAGCAGTTAGTGTAGTTTGTCTGCATCTGCCCTTTTGGAAAGTCTGGCTCTCTGGAAATGCGTTACACAGAGCTTTTCCTGGGGCATTCTTGAGCTACCTGGTTCTGTCTCGGGAGTGTTTGTTGTTGCACGAGTCCTGAAGAAGGGCAGTGGGTCTGTATTTATCTTGTGATGTATCTGTCTTCTTTCCACGACAGGCGTGTCTCCACATGAGGGAATACAGCAAATCCCAGGATTTCCTGGTCAGAGCTCAGCACATCCAGCCCTTCAACCGTGATATCAACAATGAGCTGAAGAAGTTGGCAAGGTGAGAGCCCTCCTTTCCATCCYTGGGGAAAAGGGAGTGTTTGGACAGGCTGGAATATCCATTCCAAAATATTCTAAATTTTAAAAAAACCTCAAACCACCAAATTATTTGTTTAAYAAGTGACTTGGAAAAACACATGTGGAGAAAACAGCTTGAAACATTTTTCAGGCACAGAAGCTGCAAGTGAGGAGCTGGGAACACCCACCCTTTCCAGATATTTCTTTGATGGGATGTTTGTTACCTGACTTATGAGTGGCTCAGGGTGACTACGAGGATTTGGGGGATACAAAAACCCAGTGACATACAGTTGGCTGATGCTCCAGCTAATAACATTATCAAGAAGTGTGATTTTAATTACCTTTAAGATGTTTTGGTTAATTTCAGCAGCTTCTCTGCACTGGAAGTGTTTCAGTGCACAACACTTATGTTCATTAAAAGGGAATTTYTTGCTGTCTTGGAGGTCATAAGTGAACAGCCCTGAAGACAAACTCCCTTTGCCTGCAGGCTGAGTACAGGACCATCCTGCCAGCTTTAGTCATGCCCCAGCCCCACCAAAACATGACTAATGTTTGTCTGTGCCCTCATGCTGCTCTTCCTTTTAAACTGCCAGAAGCATTAGCTTTTTCCCAAAAATGTGTGTTGTCCTCCTGGCACTGTTTATAGAGGCAGAAGCAATGCTGTCCTCTGCTCTGGAGCTCACAAAGCAGSCCTAGAATATGAGCCCTCTTTTGTGTGTTGCTGCCAGGCACTTGCAGAAGGGCAGCATCAACATCTAAAAAGAATGGTTGGTGCAGCTGGAAAAGCCAGTCTGGTGGGCTGAGTGACTTCTGCCAGGGGATATGTTGGTGGATGGCTGTTCTGTCACATCCATGTCCTGTGTATCCACATTGTCTTTAAMAGTCTGTCATAACACAGACTTGTTCTGTTACTTCTTAAGTACAAAGAGATTCAAGGCAGTATTAGCTACTAGATTTGAAACTAATGTCTTGTATTCATCCTGATCTTCCACTGTATGTGGAGCTACCAAATTGCCCACTGAGGGCAGGGAGTTCTAAAATAGATCTGGCTGGCTGCTCTTGGAGGTGGTACATTTACAGTGCTAGAAGGCCTGATTCCAGAAACCTCATGCATTCCCTTAGATTTGTTTGAAATATGTTGGTAGATAAAAGTCTTGCTAATGATACTGAGGTGGTGCTGCCAGGAAGCAACAAGGCATTTCTGCCTTTGTCTGCTCTGGCTCTGGAGAGAGCAGCACGTTCAGTGATTGTGTGTGTGTGTGTGTGTGTGTCAGAGCTGAGTGCACATTAAACCACTATTAAGCCACTGGAGTTCCTGCTTCACTACTTTTTTAAAACTGATATATTTTTTGCTTTTAACCCTATGGGTTGAGTGGGACTTTAAAGCTCATCCTACTACCATGGGCAAAGACTCCTTCCTCTAGACCAGGTGCTCTAAGSCCTGTCCAGCCTGCCCTGGAATGCTTCCAGGGATGGGACAGCCAAAGCAACCTGTGCCRGGGCCTCGCCACCCTCACAGGGAAAAATTTCTTCCCAATTATTGCTTCTAACCCTACCCTCTGGCAGCGGGAAGCCATTCCCCCTTGTCCTGTCACTCCAGCACCTTGTCCAAAGTCCTTCAATTCTCCTGGAACCCCTTTAGGCACTGGAAGGGGCTCTAAAGTCTCCCTGGAGCTTTCTCTTCTGCACATGAACATCCCCAGCTCTCCCAGCCTGTCTTCAGAGCAGAGGGCCTCCAGCCCTTGGAGCATCTCTGGGGCCTCCTCTGGACTAGCTCCAGCAGCTTTGTGTCTTTCTGATGTTGGATCTCAGAGCTGGAGGCAGCTCTRCAGGAGAGGTCTTTCGCCTATGACAAAAGTGGAATTAGTATGAAATAGATGAAGCGAGTGTTACTGTGTATTAATGAGGCCTTACCTCAGGCCAGTTATGTGATGTTGCTATCGTGCCCTTGCCTGAGAACTCTAGCRTGATCTGACAAGTGCTTCAGAAATGGAATATGAATCAAAATCTGTTCTTAGTGACTTTTCACTTCCTTACTGTGAGTACACTTGTACTTTGTTAAAAGCAATGTTCTGTGGTAATCAGCAATCTCCCTTTTGTGTCTAAAAAAAAACTTGGTAATTCATCAGTTTACCAGCTGAAACAGGTTCTTAGCAAAATTCCCTGGAGAGCAACAGGCAGAATCCAGGGTGAGGGGTATGTGGAATTGCATCTGGTACCAGCTGTGGTGATTTTGGTGCAAATTCTGCTGGATCTGGGAGTTCTGTTGGAAGGCTTGTGTTGCATCAAAAACAGGATGAAATGGGGTTCTTCTAATATCTGGAGTGAATCCATTCCTCCAAACAAGGGGCTTTTGCATTTCCTGATGTTGTAGGTGTGGGAATGTGCCACCCACAGGTAGGCATCCTGGATCAGCAACATCTCTCTGAGACTTACCAGGAGAGATTTGCTGTGCTGGGATTTCACACCCTCTGAGGTTCTGGGTCTCAAGGGTGCTGAGGGCCAGGGCTGAGAGAGCCAGAGCCAGCCTCTCMCTGGGGTTAGTTCTCATGGGTTGCACAAAACCCTTTGCTTTTGGCCTTATATGGCAGCAGATGCGGGARAGCTGAGCTCGTGGGCAGCCACTGATCCCTGGGACAGTTCCCAAACTGAGTCACCCTGCAGCTCAGGGATTTCTTACTGGTGAGGTGAGAGCACAGGGAGCAGAGGATGCTGTGCTTGGAGAAGTTCAAGTGGAGCAGACTGGGAAGTTTTTGCCATCCTGTGACGCTGGCCAAGAAGAGAGAACAGGAGGAAACATTTGCCTTGTCATCCACTTAGTCCAGACACAAATCCCTGGTGTTTCCTGCCCATCCTCTGCCAAATCCCATATCCATGGTAGATACGCTGGTGTCCTGCACTTGGACAGTATCTCCTGGGTGCTAAAGGAACTTCYGTAAGGAGACACAAATGTATCCCACAGCACGAAGATGGGGTTGCACTGCTCTGTCCCATGCTTCCAAAACTAGTGTAGAAAGCATCTGACTCCAAAAGGCAAATGATTTAATTAGTCCCTATCAGAGCAGAGACCCAGGGTCTGGGGATGAGGTGTAACATTTCCAGTTCTGCTTCCCTGACATTGCAGAAAGAAAGGCTTGGAGAAGCTGTGCCTGCTGCAGCATACTCCTCCATTATGTTAATTTATTTATATAAAAAAAATAACATTAATGTTATTTTGTGACATACATCAATATTTTGAGGATAGCACAGACAGTCTCCAGCCCCTGATACCATCCTGTGCTCTATTTTGCAGGTACCAAAAGGAGTACATGGAAGTGGAGAAACAAATGTGCTGCCAAATGTTTAATCCTCTCAATTCTTATGGCTGAGAAGAAATCAAGGTAACCCAGTTGTGAAAGAGGCTGAGCTCTCTATTGTGCCTGCACTGTTCTCAGGTGGAGAACCTGCCTCTTTTCTGTGTGGGAGGGTTTTGGGGGAACAATGTAAAATTGAGGGAGTGTGTGGAGAAGAAGGGCAGGATGGTGGGGTGAAATACTGCTACATCATCAGCTTGGGGAATCTTTCCTGTGAGGCAAAGGTTGTATGGGACAGGGACTGGAACTGCCAGCATTTGAGTGTTTGGTTTGTTGTTTACTGTGCTACTCATCTCAGCTATTCCTCATCAGAGCCAGGGGTGAAATAGCTCTGTAGTCTTGTTTCTCTGTCAATTACAATGAAAAAAAAAAAGTTCTTGTCAAACTTAAGGATTGGATTTCTTCCTTGCCTCCAGCACTCCTGTTGAAATGACTCACTTCAGAAAAATCTAAATATTTTATTTCTGGGGKTTTTTTTTAATATCTTTAAAAGTCTGTTGGAATAGAAAATTTCAAGTAGATGTTTTAGACTCTTTAAAGGCTAAATCTTSTAGCAAAATTGACAGGTTTATAAATGCGCAAAGGCTCTTTGATAATTTTTTTTTTTTTTCTGAAAACCTTCAGGGGGATGCAGGCAGTAGTGGAAGTCTTTGCTGGTCTCTTGCTTTGGGGAAAACCCTAGGGGAAGAGTTCTGGAAAATGACAGCATCCTTCTGTCAGGAAGCATCCCCAGCTCAGAGCTGTCAGTTTGCTGCTGTTGTCTCTCCTGCAATACAGACAGTACTTCTTTGCTTGCAGAAAATGCGTATTGGTAGCCTGTCCATCAGCTCTGGTGTTTTAAGGTTGTCTCTCTGTGATTGTGAGGAAGTTAAGGCCAGTGTTTCAGGAAGAGGTTGGATTGAATGCTGCTTGCTAAAGGAGCACAGCCTTCTCCTGACTGGATGTGCCTCCTTGTGGAGCCTTTACCCTTCCCGCTGCCCGTGTGCTGTGGTCCAAACTAGGCATATGGCCTCAGAGCACAARTCATCCTGCCCTGAGTTTGGGATGGGACTGATTGCGTGTGTTAGCAGGTGCCTGCCCCCAGGAAGGGGKCTCTGAAAAGGAATTTGAGACTGATGAGTTCTTGTGCAGGAAGTCTGTGCCTCTGGACTTGGCAAGAGGCTCTGATTCTTCACTGGCTGTGTTTCAGGGAGTTTTAGTTTGGAAGCATGTAGGACCTTGGGCCTCATCCCTGGTGGTACCTAACCTGGGAAGCTTCTTGTGGGGTTCTGGGATCAGCTGGCCCTGGTTTGGGGTGGCAGTCAGGGTGCTTGTGGTGATACACTGGGGCACCAGACAAGTCCTCCACTGGGAAGCTTGTGTGGCTTCCTGTTTCCCAGAAAGAAGCTTGTGAAGATGCTGCTTTTGACACGTCTGGGGTAAGTAAGCCAGTGATTTTGATTAGAGGAGACTGAGAAGTACAGAGGGATAGGGAGAAATCCCTGCTGGAGGCAAGCTTAAGGTTTGGGCTTAACTGCTTAYCAGCCAGTTTATCCACTGACTGCTGTGTGTGGAGTTCTCTCATATTACCCAGATGATGGACAGCTGTCAGTCAAAAATATTTCCAACCTTCCTTTAAGTTGATTTTTGTTGTAATATTAAAAGGAATATTAAGTCTCCCAGATGAACATAAATCACTGAGACATAAACAAAAATCTATTGTTCATTAGTGGCAAAAGAAATCCTTTGCTGGAGGAGGTTCCTGCAGGGCCCTGTGCAAGTTRGAGGTTGGGCTGCTGCTTTAAAACTTCATTACACATTCAGAGAGGAGCAAAGCAGTTCCAGCAGGCACTCCTGCTCCCTGTCAAAGGCGCTGGGAATTGGTTAGAATTGAGGCAGAACATTCTTTAGTGTKTTCTGACAGCATTGTACCAGTTAAGTTCAGGGCACAGGCTGTTCTGGGGCAGCTTGGCAGGCCTGCTTCATCCATTCTGTGTTAGACACTGAGTGGGGAGATGGGCTGGAATGCTGCCTGCAGTCCATGGTTAGTGGTCCAGTGGAATCACAACAGTTATGGAAAACTTCCATATATACCAGCTGACAGGTGCTTGTGGAGCAGTGAGCTGACCTGTGGTCCAGCTGCTGACTGACTCATAGCTGTACTTAGGGCATCTCCTCCCTCTTGGAACATTATTACATCCATCCTCTGTTTCGGAGCTCTTTCCCAGGTGGGACTGCTGTGCCTTTGGTGAACCCTGCTGTGTTCCAGGGACAAAGTTCATTTCTCTGTATTGAATAATCCAGGGCTGTTTTGTATAATTGCACTCAAACCTGGATACACCTGAGCATTGTCCTTCTACCTGGTGTTTTTGCAAAGGATTTTGCAGTGATAGGACAAGGGGKAATGGCTTTAAACTGAAAGAGGGSACAYTCRGATTGGATGCCRGGAAGAAATTCTTCCCTGTGAGGGTGGTGAGGCCCTGGCACAGGTTGCCCAGAGAAACTGTGGCTGCCTCATCCCTGGAAGTGTTCAAGGCCAGGTTGGATGTGGCTCTGAGCACCCTGGTCTAGTGGAAGGTGTCCTGTCCATGACAAGGGGCAGAATTGCATTGAGGTCCTTTCCAACCCAAACCATTCCATGATTTCTGTATCCCCTGCAGGCTATAGAGCACAGCTCTTTAGATTGCCACAAACTACATCTTGCTCAGAACACACCTCCTTACCTTTTCAATAGAATTTTGGGTCAGACTAGAGCTTCCCTTTGGTAAAAKGCAGTGCTGCTTGTGCTTCCTGGGGATAATTCAGAAATACTCGGAGAAATAGAAACACAAACACCTTTTTAATCCATCCTCCTGTAGTTCCTTGAAAATCCCTTGGGTCTCATGCTGGCCCCTCTCAGGGTTTGGTTTATTTACCTGCTTTTGTTCACTTTGTGTGGTGCAGGTATGTTTAGCCTCGTTTCCTAAGCTGGGGATGTGCAGAGCTGGAAGTCCTCCTTGGTGTCCTCTAAAGTGCAGAATGGTGGGCTGAGGCCTGCTTGCTTTTTGGAGCTTTTTGTTCTGTTTTGTTTGAAAGACCCATCAGAAAAAAAAAATTCTCATTGTTGTGCTGCTGTGGTCTTTCACAAGAGAACTAAATAATGAGGAGGGGGGACAAATTCCCTAGGAATATCTGGATTCTGGTAGAGGTCCTTGGTGATAGTTCTGTCCCAGGAAGATGARTCTCTGAGCGCTTATTTTCTGTTATGAGCCAGAGTTCAAAGCTTGCCTCTGCGTATCTCAGCTTAGTACACAGAAGTGGTCCCAGGATTTGGGAACACACAGGGAAATGTTCCAGTGAAAACAAACAAGGCTGAAATTATGACAGGAAATAGTAACATTGAGGTCAAACTGGTTATTGCCATGAATAGCAAATTCTACCAGTTCTGGAGGCATTAATGGGTGAGAATTGGCTGCAGAACCAGGCTGTGTGACCAGGTAGAAGTGACTATAATTTGGCTTAAAATCAGCAGCAGTTGCCAGTTGAACTGACCTAGTAAGCTGCAAGAGATTTGTAAATAAACTGAGAAGTTTGTGCATACCACAGTCAAACTCCTGCCTTGGGAAAGCTCCAGACTTGGAATAAACAGCAAGCAACTTGCTCCTTCCGCTCCCGCTCTCCCTTATTCCTGAGCAGGTCTGAAATGTGCCTCCTGCTGATCCTGTCCCTCCCTGCTGTGACTGAACAACAGAGAACCAGCAATTCACTKCTCCTTTAGAATATGCAAATTCCTGTCCCAGCGAGGTGTCCTGTGCTGCAAAGGAAATTGTTAAATCTCCGCTTTCTGCTTAGCCTTGGGTGGGTGATGGGTAAGGCTTGAAGGAGGACCTAATTAAGCATTCTCCTTGTTAAGCAGAGGAAGGAGAAAAGCTTTAATGAGGTTGTTGGGTTGGGGGTTTTGTTTTCCTTCTCTTTTCTTCTAGCATCTTGCTTTTTTTTCCCAAGGATTTCTGGATTTCCTGCCTGTAGCAGTACCTGTAATGTCTCTCTGGAAGGATCCTGGGCTCTGGTCTCTTTTTCAAACTGAAGAAATTACTGTAGCACCTGGTTTTAGGCACCTCTGACATGCTTTCCCAGTGGACATACTGTACATGGGTATGGATGCATTAGGGCTGGCTTTGCCCTGACTGGAAGGTCTGGCCAGGGCTTAGAAACTACAAGATGATGTGAAATGGAAAGAATAGAGACCTGTGCAGTATATCCCATTGTCCCACTATGCCTGTTCTCCGAGGCTTTGTTGAAGTGTTGGCTCTCCAGCACCTCCAGGGATGGATCCTGGGCTGTCCTCTTTGATTCAGGACATGCTTGAAGCCTGGGATTCCCCTTTATGCTCAAACATAAAGCTCCCAGGTGAGGTAGGAGCAGACTCCTGGCTACAGTGCTGAAATGAAACTCTGTTGACAGGAGGTTGGGACCAGGTGGAGTTGGGCTCTATTCTCAGGTAACAAGTGATAGGACAAGGGGAAACAGCCTCAAGTTGTACCAGGGGAGGTTTAGATTGGATATTGGGGATTTTTTTTTTTCGTGAAAATGGTTGTAGAACATAAGAATACACTGCCCAGAGCAGTAGTGGAGTCCCCTCTCTCTTAAGTGTTCAAAAATGTATGGATGTGGCACCTCAGGATGTGGTTTAGTGGTGAACGTGGTGATGCTGGACTGATGGTTGGACTTGACCTTAGAGGGTTTTTCCAACCTCCTTTGTTTCTGTTCTCCTCCATCTCCTGCCTAAGGTCATCTGCTATTGGTCCTGGGAAGGCCAGGCTGACATGTCAGGAGATATCCCTGTGTAAGGTTTTAGTTCTCAGAGCCTTTGCCAGCATCTCTAATATAAAATATTCTGGTGTTACAAATCAGTAGAACATGAAGGTGTTGGGCTCTTCTCGTTCTCATGATAATACCTGGTGTATCACGCAGTTGGAATTTAAAGAGAATTGGCTATGTGTAAGATGGGAATTTCTTGATGAAATGTTAGCTTTGCAGAGCACTCAGAGTCACTAGCCCTCACTTCC